CAGCTGGTGGGAATGAACAGCTGACCTTGTGGTTTAAACCAACATTGTAGTCTAGTGTTTTATCCTATAGTACCACACCAGATTATTCAAATAACAAATGAATAATAAAAATATAGAACACTTCACAAATTTGCTTGTCATCCTTGTACAGGGTCCATCTGTTGTTGTTAGGTGCCACGTTAACCTTTTATTACTCCAATGTTAGCATATATGTTGCTGAAGAAAGCATCCAGAGTAGGATTTTATTTTATTTTTTTTATTGTGAATTGAGTGAAGGATTACACTTTCTTTCATTTCAGTGACTGCAATCCCCTCCATGTAACAATTAATCTCATTTTATCCCTGTGGTTCCTATTTCCATTCCACCCTCCTTCCCATCCTTCCTCAATTTTTCCCTTAGAAAAAAGGTTGTCTTTTTGATCTAGAATGATTGCTGTTCCTCCTTTATACTTATCTATTGCTTAGCTGAAAATTGGGCCATGAGAATGAGTTCCTTTCCAGACCTGAAGGGTGGCTGAGGACCATAGTTTCCATTTCCTCCAGTCTCTTTTTGACTAATAAGTTCAGTATTTTTCTTGTAATATTTAGTTTTGTTCCACATTTTAGAGTTGGAATTTTAGTGATTGAATTTTCAGGTAGATACCCAGAAAAAACTATTTTTACACAATTGTATTTTAAGAGAATCTCCTATGAGTAGAACAAAAGATTTACATAATTTACAAACACATACACTCATACACAAATACAAACATACACACACTATCCTCTAAGTGTATGTGAGTACTTACCAAAGCCAATTCATGTCTAGTTGAAGTATCATGTAAGTAGATTAAAGCTAACATTCATTAAATTATCTCATGACTTTGTACTGAGCACAGTTTTGTGTTAGGCATAATTCTAGATGTTGGGTAGATAACAGAGAACAAAACAGATTAAAATTTTTGCCTACATGGAGCCTACAATCTAGTTGAGTGGGGAGAAACAAACATACACAGACAAAATAGTTGTTGACACTGTGCAAATGCTGTGGAAAACAATAAAATAGAGAACATTGGTAGAAGGGAAGGAGGGTAGGAGCCAATATTAAATAGGCTTGCCAGGAAGACCTTAGTAAGCAAAGGCATAAAGGAGAGAGGGAACCATAAGATATGTGGATCTGGCAGAAGAATTATAGGCAGAAGTAAAAGTAAATGGGAAGGCCCCAGCGCCTGGCTTGACTGAAAAATAATAGCAAGGGTGCCACAATATGGATGGAACAAACTGAGTAAGAGAAGTACAGGGGTTGAAACTTGAATGAAAACCACAGATAAATATGACTAGATTTTTTATAACCTTGAGGAGACTACTTAATGAAATTCTCATTTATAAAAATTCAGGTATAATTTATATACAGTAACAGCTACTCTGGAGCCTGATGTGGCACTATAGAATAAGCATTGCACTGCTAAACCCAAGGTTGGTTGTTCAAGTCCACCAGATGTCCTTTGGAAACCCTATACAGGATGTCAGAACAACTAACTCAATAGCAATTAAAAACAATTATCCATCCTTTAGAATGCATACTGTACTTTCTCATGGAAGCAGCAGTCAAGAAATCAAATGACATATTGCATTACGCAAATCTGCTGCACAGGACTTCTTTAAAGTGTTCAAGACAGAGATGTCACTTTGAGGATTAAGGTGAGCCTGACCCAAATCATGGTATTTTCAATAGCCTCATAGGCATGGAAATAAATAAGGAAATAGGCATGGGAATGAATAAGGAACACCATAAAAGAATTGATACATTTGAGTTATAATGTTGGAGGGGAATATTAAAAGTACCATAGACTGTCAGAAGAACAAACCAATCTGTGTTGGAAGAAGTACAGTCAGAATGCTCCTTGGAAGCCAGGATGGCCAAACTTTATTGCTCATACTTTGGACATACTATCAGGAGGGGACAGTCCCTGGAGAAGGACATCATGCTTTGTAAAGTGGTTCAACAAAAAAGAGGAAAAGCTCCAATGAGATGGATTGGCACACTGGCAGCAGCAATGTACTCAAGCATAGAAATGATTGTGAGAGTGGTGCAGAACCAGACAGTGTCTTGTTCTGGTATGCATGAGGTAGTTATGAGTTGGTACAGACTCGACAGCACTTAATAAAAGAATGTATATGTCTGTGCATTCTGACAAATGCACACAAATACATAACCACCATCACCTATGATCTCCCTAAAATTTCCCAATTCCTGTATTGAAAGCTCCTGGTAACCTCTGATCTACTTTCTTAGTTTTGCCTTTTCTTGCATGTTATACATTTGGAATTATAAATGTCATATAAACAGCTTCCTTTAGATAGCGTAATGCATTTGAGATTAATTCATGTAGTTGAATGTAACACTAGTTTATTCATTTTTATTGCTGAATGGTATTCCATTGTATGGGTATACAATACCCAACACCAGTGAGGGACACTTGACAACTATAAATAAATTTGTTATAAACATTTGTGTACATATTTTTGTGTGACTGTTGGTGTCATATGTTAAGTATGTATTTTTATAAGAAAATACCACACATTTCCCAAAGTGGACACACTAATTTAGATTCTCATCATTAATGTATAATAGTTTTCAGTTGCTCCTCATTCTCCAGTATTTGGTATTAACAGTTTTTCTACTAAAAGGCCATCCTAACAGGTATATAATGGTGTCTATTATGATTTTTACATTGCATTTTCCTAATAACAAATAATACAGAGCATCTTTTTACGTGCTTACTAGCCTTCTATATAACTTCTTTGGTGAAGTATCTTCAAATTTCTGCCCATTTTTCACTTGAATTGTTTATTTTCTCATTGAGTTATCTGAGTTCTTGATGTACTCTAGATATTCAACTATATGATTTTCTCCCATCTCTAACCTGTTGATTCAATTTATTAACAGTGTCTTTTACAGGTCAGAAGTCTTTAAGTTTGATAAAATTCAATTTAGGTATTTGCTTTTTTATGGATTTTACTCTTAGTGTCAGAGCTAAGAAATCTTTGCCTAACCAAGGTCCTGAAGATTTTAGTTTAATAAATTTAAAATTTACATTTTAACTCCACTGAATTAATTTTCACATATGATAGGAGGTATAGATTGAATTGGTTATCTTTTTAATGGATATGCAAATTATAGCACCATTTTCCAGATATAGCTTTTCTTCACTGAATTGCCTTTGCATCATTGTAAATCACTATTTGGTCATATATGTATAGGCACATTTATGGCCTTTGTTCTGTTCCATTGATCCATGACTCCATCCTTTTGTCAGTACTACAGTGTCATGATTCTAAGTCTTGAACTCTGGTTGTGTGAGTCATTGAACTTTGTTCTTCTTTATCACACTGTATTGGTTATTCCAGTTTTACTGTGTTTTCATATAAATTTTTAAGTCAGTTTGTCAAGTTCTACAAAAACTCTCCAGAGATTTTGGTTGTATGGGTATTTCACAGTTTGATTATCCCTTTTCCAGTTAAAGATACTTGGTAACTTCACATAAAGCCACTATTAAACATTTATGTACTGATTTTTATATGGAAAAAACTCACTATAATGATTTTGGCTTTTACTTTGAGATATAAAGTTATTGTACGTTTCTGAAGTGACATGATATGACAATTGCTTTCAAAGGATTTACTATCTAGATGGCTTCCTCTTAGTATAAGCAAATCATGACATTAACCTATGTCTAGAAAGAAGTTCTCAAAGTCCTCTGAAAAAAGTTTTGAAAAGGACCTCAACTGATATCACTTCTCTTTGTTTTTAGCACCTTAGGCAAATCTCTAAATTACTTTTACACATGATATTGAAATTCTATTTTCATAAGACTATGAACTCCTAGAGGGCTGGTCCATTGTCTATATTCCTAATCCCTAGCGAGTACTCAAAACTTTGGGGCACTAGTAATTCTTGAAAAATGTTTGCAAAATGATTGAGTGAAAAATTATACAGGTATGGACATGGCATAAACTCATGTGAGAAAACCAACAAATTACATGAATTTCCTGTATCTAGAAGCTGTAGTAGTCAGGGTTCCCAGGAAAAAGAGAACCCACAGGATGAAAATGTAAAGTGTGCATATGCGAATGATTTATTTTAAGGCGATGGCTTATGCATTTATGTGAGCTGGCAGTCTAGGGCACGCCAGCAGGCTGAAAACTCAGTAGGAGTTAACACTGCAGTCTTGAAGCATAATTTCTTCTCTGGGAAATCTTGACTTTTGTTCTTAAGGTTTTCAAATGATTGTATGAAGTGCACCACATTATTAAAGTTAGTCTCTTTCACTTAAAGTCAGCGGACTGTAGATGTTAAACACAGCTACAAAATACATTCACAGCAAAATCGAGCTTAATATTTGATTAACTGGCTGGGTATGATAAGCTAGCCAATTTGACACATAAAATTAACCACCACAGAGGCCCAATAAATGCACAGAGGCCCAATGAGTGGGCAAAGTGAAGCCTGGGGAAGGAGCAGAAAAAACAGTTTCTACATTTTTGGAGTGAGATAATATTCAGAAAGGATGGGAAGTATTTATCAAGCAACAAAAGGGAAAGAAACAAAAAATAATACAAACATTGCATCTAGTCAGGTCAAATTTTATAAGAATTCTTTTAATGTAAGGTCTCCCCTTTCCCCCCACCCCCACCTCTGCCCAAGAAATCTACTGCCACTGAGTCGATTACAATTTATAGCTACCCTAAATAGGGTTTCCGAGGCTGTAAATCTTTATGGGAACAGAAAGCCTCCTTTTTCTTTCTTTGAACAACTGGTGGATTCGAATTGATGACCTTGAAGTTAGAAGCCCAATGTGTAACCCACTACGCCACCAGAGCTCCTTAAGGAAAAGTTAGGTATTCCATATTAAATAAATCCAAGCAAACTGGGAAGAAATATTAATAGCCTTAATTACCAAATACAGTGGAACTATGACCTAGTTTTTTTAAATAAGTTTTCTAAAATGTATGCCTACCTCACGTTCTTCTTCTTGCTCTTTACGAATTTGCTCCAAACGAAACTGTTCAGCCATCTCTCTCTCATGAGCTTCCCTCTGTAGATAAAATAGAAAGGGAACTTGTTGTTGTTAAGTGCCGTTGAGTCGGTTCCGACCCATAGCGACCCTGTACAGGGTTTCCAAGGGTATAAATCTTTACGGGAGTAGAAAGCCTCATCTTTCTCCCGCGGAGCGGCTGGTAGTTTCAAACCGCTGACCTTTAGGTTCGCAGCCCTATTCGTAGCCACTACACTACCAGAGCTCCTTAGAAAGGGAACTGGTTACATTCAAAAGGTTAATTTCTAGCATGGGCCAGAACTACAGTTTGGTGATGCAAGTATCTCTCTTTGAAACAAGAATGGAAATGAAAGCAAAAATAAAGCACAGTTCTCTAATTGTGTTCCTATTCAAATAGCTTTGGCAGTTCTGGGTAGCACATGGCATTCAAGATTCTTCATGACCTTTCTCTGGTCTTCATTTCTGACATTTTTTGCTACCTCTCCTATCCCCAAATCTCAAACTAAATTCACACAAGCCTCTATCGTGTTCTGTGCCATCTAGTCAATTCTCCTGAACATACATGATTTCCTCTTCCCTCCTACCCTTATTTTTCTGTCCAGTTCATATATACCACCTCTTCTATGAAACGTTCTCTAATACATTTCTACTTCATGGGGCTCCATAAAATCTGGGAAAAAAGTTTCTTGGAAATTTCAGTCCACTGAATTTTCACAGAACTCAGTGCTTTGCTTATGGTACTTAGAATTGTTACCTTAGATTAGTCTGTGTTCTTAACTTAATCTATCATATTGTGAGTCCTTCCACAGATGCAGAAACTCTGGCTTACTTAGTACAGAAGTAGGTGCTCATTAAGTTATTTTTCACAAATAATGTGCATGTTACATGTTTTTTCCCCAATCACACCCTCCTTCTGCAAGATATTTTCATAAGTGCATAATGTAAAAATAACCACATAAAATATGTATGTTATTTGTGTATGAATACAGTAAATAAATCACTCATTTTCAACCCTTGCTTAACATCAGAATCACCTGAAAGTATAAATTACAATTAAAAAATTTTAATTTCTAACACCAATCAAAAAAAACTATAGAGCAATTTAAAGCAAGTAAGATAGGTATTAGACTTAATTCTTTTGATTTTTATTTTTCATGATTCCCAACAAACTTTATCTTGTCAAAATGAACCAAGCTTTAAGATCCATGGCTAGAATTATATTCTTTCTGATAATTGAATCTAGATTTCTCCATTGCAAGCCCAATATTCTTAGGGATCAAAGTATAAAAGGGGTTGGCACTTAAATAATGAAAAACTATTTGAATTCTTTATCCCAGAAAGGTCCCTGATCAAACCTACTTTTGCTCTGTCAGCCTCAAGTGAAAGACGATAGGCTTCATCTTGCTCTCTCTTCACATTTTCTCTGGCCTCACGTTCATCCTTAAAAGAAAAAGATTCAATACATTCGATGCATATTACCACTTTAGAAAAAAAAAAGAAAGAAAAACAAAAAAATAATGGTATTTCCCCATCTTATACTTGTGTTAATTTGTTAGAATTACATAAAACCCTTACATTATATAGGATATAAAAAAACAAGATAAACAGCACTTGTATAGTAGGGGGAAAAAATTGGGGAAAAGAGAAAAAAAGAGAGCTTGAATTCTATTACTCCCACTCAAGACCCAGGGCAAGTTATTTAACTTACACATCTTAATTTCTTCAACAATAAAATGGAAGCAATCTCTGACTCATAGGATTATCATAAGAATTTAATGCAATATTATAAAAGCTGTGTAGCAAATACCTGGCACTTAAACTTTATAATTATTCCCTCTTTTTCTGAGTTTTCTATGACAAATTTGGAAATTGTCAGCATTGGGACAAAGGACTTGAAAGGAGTGTTAAAAAGTAATCCCCTGGTCAACAAGGAAGGAGGTTGAAAACAAAATATCACAGTCCATACCACACCACTAAAACTTTGGGTATCATATAAATACAGTTTATCCTTATTATTTTCAGATTCTGTCTACTCACTAAAATTTGCAACATTTAAACAATACTTGTGGAGCTTTCTTGGTCATTTTGAGATCACTTGCGAGCTGACTTGACAGCACTTTGTACAAAGTGGCAAAATTTGAGTCACCTGATAACCAAAGTCAAAGTTCTTTTTGTTTTAGTTTTCAAACTAAACTAGTATCTTTTTTAGACCCTATTTAACTCATGTATTTGCATTTATATGTGTTTTCTCTTGTTGCTGATGTTGCTGTTTCAAATGGCTCCCACAAAGAGCTGAAGTGTTATCTGATCTTCCTAAGCATCTCAAGGCTATGATGTACCTTACAGATAAATTATGTGTGTTAGAAGAGCTTTGTTTATGTATAGAGCTATTGGCCCTGAACTCAATGTTAATAAATCAATATATATTAAATAAGGTGTCTTTAAACACCAACACATATAAAGCAAAGTTATGTATTGACCAGTAGATAAAAATGTTGTGATCAGAAGCTCACAGAAATCTAACCCTGTATTTTCCCTAGAAATAATGGTTTAGCATCTTAATTCACTATTTTAAATAAAACACTGACTTTGTCCTATAAAAACAGTGTCTTTATAGAACATAACTACCATGACTAATGAAAATCAACTGTATTTTCCCACTGTATTTACACTCATGAAGCATGGATAATAGAAACTATCTAAGTTGGAAAGCTAAATATATTAGTTTCTAAAGTAATTATCCTGGTGTGGCGCTGTGGGTTAATGTGCCAGACAGCAAAGCCATTTGAACTGTAAGGTCGGCAGTTCACGCTCACCAGCTGCTCCTCGGAAACCCTATACAGGGTAGCTATGGGTCGGAGCTCTGGTAGCGTAGTGGTTATGAATCGGGCTGTGAACCTTAAAG